TTATATATATATATAATTAGGTTGTATCAACATATTTTATTACATTTTATCCCGTTCACATACCCAAGACATTCCAATGGACCCAACTTTTGTAGGATGTCCAGATTTCTGTCATCTGACCCAAATGCCCAAACTTATTTGATTGGATGTCTCTAAGCCAATCACAGCGCTCCACATCCTCCAGAGGGAACTGTTGCTCTTGGGCTGCTTAAGAATCACGTGCACACTCAAGTGCACACTCAAGTGTCTTGACATCATGGAACCGCCCTTCAGACTGATTAGTTAGGTTCATTTTAGTCCGGTTTTGGACCCTAAGCCCCACTTTTCTGAGCTTGTTTTGTGGAACGGGCCCCTGGTGAAGCTTGGCACTGGCATCTGAAGATTAGCAGCTGGTGACTCAAAGGAAACACACGAAACACTTCAAACTGACTGAATACAAACGTATTAATCATCTATGAAAACCAAAGTAAAGACCACCTGCAATTTCATGTTTTTATTTGACTTTCATTACAACAGTAGGACTACAGAGCTGGTGCACATGTAGTTGTGTTGATGACTTCTAATGCAGACTGTGCACTATGACAGGCAGAGGAACAATATCTATGTATGCCAGGTTATTGAGCATAAAACAAAGAATTAACAAACAAATGTAAAATGTAAATTTAGTCTGATTTAACAAAGCTGACACTAGACACGCTTTCTTCATCAAAGAGTCCAGGAGATCCATTTCTCACAGATCCAGCTCTTATAAACATAAGAGTTGCTTTCTGTCCATTGTCCTTGTTGATTGCAACATGTTGCAGCCACATTGTTTCTGTCATCGTGTGGCAATCCTGTTGCCCAGAACCTGTCGGACAAACAAAATGTCCTTTTAATTTGACGTCATTTATAATATTTATATCATCTGTAAAAAAAAATGATCATTAAGATCCAGATTAGTACATTGTAAGGGCTGCCAGTCAATGATTTGTAAAAAACAAGGTAGCACTTTGTGGTTTAGCCCGGCAGTCCCTCCCAAAGACTTAGTCACACATTATATTTCATCATCATACAGTAGCTTTGCAGGTCTCTGAAAGTTTGAAAATTTTTAAATTGTTATAGTTTATGACTTCCTTAACTTGTAATACCAACAGGGAAGAGGAAAAAGACACAGTCCTTCATGTAGCTTTAACCTAGCATGAAGCTGTAGCTGTAAATCAGTGACTAACAGTACATTTGATGGAATCGTGAACCTTCAAAATGTCTCACGTGTCTGTCTGCGGTGATCTGTCCACCCATTCCCATTCCCATCTCCAGCTTGTTTGATTCCATATTTCCTTCCTGGCTGATCCAGGAATCTTTATCCATGTTCAGCTCAAGGACAAACTTCTGGTAGTTGATCAGAGACAATAATGAGAGGAATCAAAGAAGGGTCCACTTGTACACCACGCAGTAGTAATGGACACAACAGCATGAAGCTAACATTTACATTTATCAGAATGCATTAGAGAATAGAAAAATAAACATTTAAACAAGTTATCTTATGTCTTAGTCCTGTAAATCCTTTACCTCTTAGGATTCTATGCAGACGTCTTTGAATGAATCAAACGTTCCCGCAAATTCACTAATTTCTGACTTCAATGTCGGTTCTAAAAAAACGTTGCTCGTCGAAAGAACTGATCTCAGACCTTCAGGTTCTTCCGTGTTCATTCAAGTCTTCAATTTTTATCAAACAAGAATATTAGGAAATGTCTAATCTGTGTATGTCGTCCTCTTCCATATTCATCAAACACATTTTACTCTAATTCTAATTGCAAATCGTAGCCTTAAGTTTAGCACAATCTGACAAGTGAAAACAATAACGTTGTGTTAAAGCTCATGGACAGAAGCGTCAGGGAAGTGGACCCAAAGGCCTCAACAGGACACAGAGATAAAGCTGGTTGCAGTACAGGAACTAAAATCAATAGAGAGGTGAAGTCCCGCCCCTTCCGGTTGACCTCCACGGGATCTTATTTTGGAAAGAATATGTACGGTGCTCAACGGCAAAAGACAAGAAATATATTTTGATCCTGTTTGAAATGTGCCATGAATTACACATATGATGTTTGTCAGTTTAAAAGATCATTTTTACACATAAAAAAAGTGCAATTTTGTCTTAAAATTGTTGACATATCCAGATTGTCGTAAGTGACGTCTCTCTTTCTCTAAAGCTACGATTCCTTTGTGTTTCGTACAGAATGTTCTCGTGGTCTCACTCGTTCTTTTCTCTTCCGGCTGATAAACGAAAACACAAGTAACAGGTCACTGGCAGTTCCTTCCAAGATCACACGCTCATGAACAAACACACTCACATGTTCCTCTTTGTTGTTGATCACCACCAGATCTGCTGCTTTCTGTTGACAGTCATCTCTGCTGCCATGCCAAGTGTTCCTCTTATTAGATTTAAAGTAACAGCTGCATCCAAATCTCCTCCATCCTTCAGGACACCACTTCTCTTCAGTGTTTTAAAGAAAGAGGTCATATCATTCAAAAGCCGTGTTTCCATTCACGTCTTTTCATGCACATTGTGAAGTATTGCGCTAGAAAAGCTGTATGGAAACGGCAAAATGGCAACCTTGGTGTTTGCTTTTGTTAAAAAATAATTGATGCTAAATGGATTATGGAAACGCCTTTGCAGAATAACATTTGACTCACATGACTGATCAGCCGTCCTACCCGATAAATATATTCATATTGTCTTCGTCTCTGTAAACATGAAACTTGGCCAATAACTCTTGTAGATGGTTAGAAGGTGACTTGTTTTGTTTCTGGTTCTGGTTCTGGACCTCTACCTCTTCTTCTGCTCTGTTCATGACAGATTACCTCCATGTGTGCCTTATTCTGCTAACTTCTAAACAAACTACGAGCTTATTCGCTCCAAATATGTTGATGGATATGTGCCTAATTTGCATTCCTTTTTTGCTTAAAAATCAATCTTTAAGGTTGAATAGAAACACAGCTCAAGTGTAATGGATAACACTCGTAGATTCACTCATTAGCTTAAGATCTCTCTTGGTTGTTTAGTCTGTGCTAATGGCACATTGCAAAAACAGTTAAACAGCAACAATTATATTCAAAAGTAACGAGTCAAGTTCTATTGTTGAAATTGGTATACTTCTGGTGTTTTTTTCTCACTTTCAATTTTGCCCTCGAGCTGCTTCACCTCCTCCTGTAACTGGCTGTGATTCTCACTCGGGGTTTGGTAACTGCTCTGTAACTCACTGTGGTTGAAGGATATGTCTTGAGAAAAACAACAATAGATAAAAGTGAGACAATATGAAAATAGTTTAAGATAATAATTTTATTCTTTCTTTGTTCAAAATAAGATGATTTTGGAAATACAGATTTTCTACCAGCAACAACAATATTCATAGCGATAGATTCACCCACATTCATTTAGCTTGGTTGACTGTAGAACCTCTGTGTTTCGGTTCCTCTGATTGACCTCTGTGTTTCACCCTGGGTAACAGCTGAGCCCGTTACCAACAGAAGAACATAGTGCACCCTGGGTAACAGCTGAGCCCGTTACTAACAGAAGAATACTCTATCGAGCAGATGGCCGTGAAATCCAAACAGCATGAACACACTTCAGTTACTCTCGTCTTCAGCCTCACTGCTCTGTACGCAGGTGTGTTCTAAGTCATCAACATGTTGGCCTGTTGTTGTACTTTTACAGTAATGCGGTTAGTTAGTTTTCTCTGAGTTTCCCTTAATTATGTCGTTGTTTTAAGTGAGAGAATAACGAACTTTTGAAAAGTTGAGGGAGAAATTAAGTGAATCAAGTCAAGATCACATTTACATGTTAGACTTGATTGATTCTCTGTGAGATTGTTTCTCACAGATCCATCGTTTGGATCCATTGTTGGTTTGTTGCCATGTTCCTTCAGGACCCACAAATGCTCTGGACCTGGAACCATCATCAGGCTTTACATTCACACCGGTCTTCCAGGGCCTGTAGAACAAACACTGTGTTATTAACAAAATACATTATTCATATAAAGATAAAGTTATTGTGATTCGATAATCTGATCTTTATGTCGTTTAGCTTTATGTACACCACAGAAGAGGTTTCAGAACATTTCTAAAGTCAAGAAGATGCCCAGAGGAGGATGAATATGAACTTGTTGGCCTACATGTGTTCATTATCCTGAACTGTCAACAGATCAATGGCTTCTTAAATATGAGCCCAAATACAAGTTCAGAATGTGATGCACAAATCATTTCAAACGTCTTCCTTCAGATTCAGATTGTGTCCAGAGAGCGAACAGCTGCATCTCACATACATCATGACGCTCAAAACCATGGGTGGAATTGTTAATTGATTATCTGTAAATACTTACATTATCTGAAAACAGGATCGACTCCATAAACTATTCATTTAAATATTTATTATTATTTTATATTTAGTGTTTTTCAATTTCATCCAACTATTAGCCACGAACAATGACCCTGAAATAAATCAATATTCTAAAAATAAAGTGTTCTCACAGATATGATGATATTGATCCGTCCACCCATCCCCATCCCACGGACTGACCGCTCACTGGCTGCAGACCGATCCACGAAGCGTCCGGTTTAGTCAGCTTGCTGACAAAACTCTGAACATTTAGCAAAAAGAGGAATCGACAGCAAGACAGAAGCCAGACAGTGAACATATGAAGCAGAATAACATTATGAAAGCAGCACATTCATAGATCATCCTAATAAAAGTGCATTTGGCAATCATAACTTTCAATTTCCACTAAATTCATATTAATGATCATAGTTACATATTTCCAACTACTGAAACAGTTTTTAACAGAATCATTCAAACATTTTCTAATGAATCAATTTAATTTGAAGTAAAATAACAGTAAATAATAAAAAAGACATGTTGCACAGGCATGTTGCACGTACACATGCACTCACCTGTTCGTCTCTGCTGCTGATCACCACCAGATCTGCTCCTCTGTTCCAACAGTCTCTCCGGCTCTCTGTCCAGTTCTTCATCTCAGTAGATTTGTAGTAATAACTGCATTGAAATCTCTTCCATCCTGCATTCACTGAAGTGTTTTAGTCACAGATTTGAAATCATTTAATGACAAATACATTGAGATTTGACACTAGAACCTGATATGTGATTGTTTGGAACTTTGTCCTTCAGTCCGTGACTTTTCATTAAAGTGTGTTCTGTAGCACCGCTACCGTAGAATCCACATAAGACAAGCCAGCAGGGAGAGTACCGGGCTTTGAAGCAAAGTTTACATCGTGACCAAACCTTTTAATTACAATTCATGGGTTCATCACATGATGACGCCATGTGACCCAAAAACACTTACACTTACATTTTGAAAGAGACATCTTTAACTCAGCTGATCTTTTTAGAGTTGTAAACCCTTCACAGTACCAACACTTGAAATAGCCCTTATTTAAATCATCAGGTCTGAAAATGTTGTGAAATGCGCTACAAGCTGAAGTCAGAGTTATTTTGCCTCCTCCGTTCATGTGAATGGACTGAGGGCTGGGAGGCGGGGCTAAAGGAAACGATAGTGCGCTCGTTTCGATGGATGAGGACGATCTCCGAAAGATCCGGGTTTTCATTTTATATTCTGAAGGTCAACTTTTCTCGCTTCGTGAGCCACTGAGCGACTTTCCTGGCAACACCTCATGTGTGCTAAGTCATAACCCGACCTCCTGGAAAGATTTATGAAAATACATCAGACATTAGACCTGCTCAGTGCTGTGAGTGAAGAGTCTGATGGTTGAACTGATGTGTCCTCTGTTGGTTCTGACTGAAAGGGACCACAACTACAGCACCTTGTCACACAACGCTGTGTTGTAGAATGATGAATAAATAAACCGTGTACCTAGAAAACCAATGCATTCTAACAGCGAGTGAACTTTACCTGTTGGAGGTTTACAGCGTCATGGTTCTGTTAAAGTGTTCCTTTTCAAACATGTCTCACCTGTGGTGTTCCCCTGTGTCTGGTTGACGGTCTCCTGTAACTCGTGGTACAATTTGCTCAGGTTGTCGTATTTGTTCTCCAGCTCCTTCAGCTCGTTGTTCTCCGGAGTGATAGAAACATCTGGTGAAAAGATGCAGTGCAGTGATGTGAAATCAAGGTTCTTGTGTGGACTTTTAAGACATGACATCATAATACAGACGAGGTCCTCACGGCGTTGAGACAGGACGATGACTGCAACTCCCAGCAGGACACAGAGGAAACCCAGAACCAGTGCAGCAGCTCTGAGGAGGTTTCTCTGGACATCTGGAGGATGCTTTTGAGTGTTTGCTCCTGCAGAAGGCAAACGGAGAACACGATCTGGTTAAGCATGTTGAGCCTTTCCTCCTTCAGGTCAGAACAAACAGGAATAAAGACCTACAAGGATTCATCTTTAAACCTGATTAGATTTAACTTTAAATTATGTTGCACCAAAAATTAATAAAGATTCTATTTTTACTATATATATATATATATATATATATATATATACATATATATATATATATATATACATATATATATATATATATATATATATATGTATATATATATATATATATAGATTCAATTTAATTCTGTTGCACCAAAACATAAAAACCTGATCCAGTGTTGACCTTCACTTTACACTTGAGGAGCTCTAACTTTGAAAAAAGCTGCTTTTTTTAGATGGATTGAACAAAATAATTAAGATCCTTAAAGAAAGTTAATGGACCGACAAACCAGTCGAGTTTTATGCGGCGGCTGAATTTCTCTCAAGATGAAACGGTTCTGGAGCAGAACAGCAATTAAATCAAAAGTTTGTTCTTTACTGTGAAAGAGTGTTTTTATCATCTCTTATTCGTCCGTATTGCTCCTTTAATTCAGCCGACAAGTTTGTAAAGCCAGTTTAAAAAAGGGCCTTTTAACCCGATAAGCCCCGCTCCAAATGTAAATGTGTCATTTTAACTTGGATTAATTAATCAGATATTAGTTTATTTAATCGTGCAACAGAGCTCTGCTTTATTCTAAACCTGCATTCACTCATTTTAAACCTAGTTTTGCTAAACTCTGATTAGAATGAATCTTTGATTAAACCTATATATTCGTAGTGTAACCCAGTTAAAAGTGAGAAGTGTGAACGTCATCACAGCCATCGACAGGAAACGAGCCCGAACTGTTCAAACACCAAGAGACAAGCATCTGATCTTTATCGCTTCATCAGCACGGAGACTGAACATCACGACTTGAGCTGAGAGCAATTTAATCGTTTTACACCAATAAAATAAGACACAAGGCGCAGGTTAATAAACATGAATAAACGTTAATAAACATGAATAAACGTTAATAAACATGAATAAACGTTAATAAACATGAATAAACATTAATTAAACCACAACTGTCAAACAATTTTACATTTTAGGCTTGGCCGTTTCATAAAGGTTATTACTTCATTTTGATTATTTATTTTTCACACATTTGCGTTTAATTTTCTGTTCTTCACTGCATTATGTGAACACATTGAAAGGTGTGCATGCTGGTGTCGTAGATGTGCTGGATTGTGAATAACATCACAGTGGAGCAACGGGATTCAATACACACAGCTAGTCGATATGTGCACTAAGATGCAGATACAAAGCTAGCAAGTAATAAAGAGTAATTATTACAATAAGAGTAAAGATTTAATACAAATTCAAAGATAAAGTAGTAAATTATAAACTAGGATAAGTATTAAATGCTCATAAATGTACATGTAACAGTCGAGAGCAAATATCCTGATAATAAATATTCTTATAATTACGTCACATTTACAGCCGAGCCTCTAACTTTAATAACCAGTTTCCGTTGTTTCTTGTATATTAACTGGTATTTGATGGTGTTTTAATACCTTTCTCCGGTGTTAAAACACGGCCGCCTGTGAAAGTGTCCACACTGTCGTAGATGTCCACCAGTCTCTCAACTCGCTGTCCTCCGTCCTCTCCGGCTCCTTTGCAGAACTTCACGTTCATCGTCAAACTCGGGTCTTCGTAAATGTTCGAAGCCATTTTTGCGGCACGAGACAACTGAGGAGTCTCAGCGTCCGATTTATTCATGGTTCCCCGTCGCTTCTGCCTCCGTCTCTCTGCTCATCACAAGGAAGTAGAAGCAGGAAAACACTCATTGCAACATTTTTATCACCGTTCGGTAAAAAAGTGCTCGATTAACTGGCCGATCTTATGACACCGTACAATACACGTATGAGAGCTGCTATCAGAGGTGTGACATGTGATCTGTGGTTCAACTCGTCTGCTAAAAAAAAAGCACCTAAAGGTGTTCGCAGAATTCAGATTGTGCAGAGATAATGACGTTTAAAAGATCAGACAGAATAGACGTAAACATTTAATTAAAATGATCAAATGAGGGAACACAAACACCGAGTAAAGGATCAAACACAGAACTTAATAAAAACAGATGTCCTTGTTTCTAACATGGCATCCTGAAGCCATGTGGACTTTGACTAAGATGTTTGCTATACGGACGTATAGCATCTGGTCACTGATTCTGTGACCAGATGAACTGAAGGAAGCTTCACAAACCAAACAAAGTTGTGAAGATAAGTCTCTCTCTTTAGCTCGTGGACCACAAATCAGCTCATCGTAGAAACCACTTCCTTCTTCACGGCAGAGCACAGAGCACATCATGTCCTTGCTCTGTAACGTTGCAATACTTATTCTAGGGACCTTTTAATCCTGCTCTGTGAAGCACGTTGGGCTTGTGTGTGAAAAGTTCTATATGAATAAAGGTGAGCGTTAGCCAATCAGCAGTAAGTCTTTAGGACGGTGTTGAATCCAGTCGCCGTCAGTGTCCTCTCGGGTTCAAACAAGCCTAAACACGTCTTTAACACATCCTCTCCCTCCGTCTCTCTCCAGGGCCTGACCGGTCCAGTAGGTGATGCAGGTGTACCGGGACCTCAGGGACCCCAAGGACTACAGGGACACAGTGGACGCTCCATCATAGGACCCCCAGTAAGACCAACGCACACCCAGTTCTCAGTCTCCCACTCTAATAGATACTTTCTCCATTTATTTCTATATGCTTTTATTTTGAAAATATGTTTGCTGTTCATAGTCATTTTTACAGATGCCATTCATATGCTAAATATGTGAAAAACACAGTATTTGTTTACGCCGTTGCAGCAGTTTATTTAGTAAACTTTGTGTTATATTAACGATATCCATACAATCAGAAAAAAAGGTATATTCTTTATCTGCAGGGAGGTCAAGGAGAGCAAGGACAGAAAGGTGAAGCGGGACAACAAGGAACACAGGTGAGAAAAAACAACGTGAATACAACATACAAATCTTCTCTTTCAGGTTTATGTGATCGCTTCTGGGTTCCGTCTACATACATGTGAATACTGTACTTTTAATTATGAATCTTTATCAAATCAGGTTCATGTTGATAAGACACCAAATGTCTACAGTCACTTGTAGCGGCTCACTACATCACTTTACAACATCAGGACCAAACTTATTTCTGTAGAATTCAGATTTCCTCCTTGTTCGGGGTTGATGGCGAGCCGGTACTTGGTAGAATTGTACTTTGATGAGTTTTAGTCGGTTGGTGGCGGAACGTTGTTTCAGTTTCACAAAGGTCTGATGCTTGAAAAGAGCCTCCCACAAGTAATTACAGCTCCACGGTAAATTACGACTAATATGACCTTCTGGAAGCAAATAGTTGTCAGATTTTGAATAATGGTGCCATTTGCAAAAGGTTGATTTCTCTTGTTTGAATCTATTTCTGTTCCCTGAGTTTGTGACACGACAGCTCGATTCAACCTCGCAGCGTTTACAGGAATGTTTTCTGCTTTTATGTTGTTGCAATGTTTGCCTTCAGAGTTGATTGTACAGGAAGCAATGCAACAAAGATCCCCAGCGGGAATCTAACCAGGGACATTGCAGTCAGACAGAGTTTCCATGCGTCCTGGAAAACACATGGAAAATTAAAGGAAAATTGAATGCCCTGGAATATTACTTCAACATTCTCCTGTTTTTCAAAGATCAGAGATCCCAGAACGGATAACAAAGCCATCTGAAAGGGCTAAGTATGTTCACGATCACATTCGAATGGTTCATGGACCAGAGTTACCATTACGTGACCTACGTAACTATGCTACGTTACTTACGCAATGTAGTAACGCTACATAGCTTTACTACGTTACGTATGCATGTCATGTGACCTATGCAACTATGCTACATTACGTAAGCTACATTACGTAGGCGAGATAGTAACGTTGCATTGCCTAAGCTACGTTATAGCTACGTAGTAACGTAACATAGCATTACGACGTTACTACGTTGCCATAATGTAGTATTGATATGTAACCTTACGTGACCAACATAACTACATTACGTAAGCGACGGAGTAACACAACGTTGCTAAGTTAAGTACACAACGTAGTAAAGGTATGTCATGTCATGTGACCTATCCAACTACCTTACGTAAGCAACGTAGTAACGTAACATAGCATTACTACGTTACTACGTTGCCATAATATAATGTCAACCTTACTTAACCAACATAACTGTGCTACATTACTTAAGCGATGTAGTAACGCTACATAGCGTTGCTATTTTACATACGAAACGTAGTAACGGTGTGTAGCGTTTCGTAACATAGCTTACGTAACTTTATGCAATGTTACGCAACTTAAAATAAGTTGATGTTTACTGTTTACGTAGTTTGACGTATACGAGGAGTTGGGAGTGAGAGCGGGCTGTCGTTTCATTTTCACAGCGCTGCTGTTCAACCAGTCACATCTGACAAGTTTATATACATATATATATATAAATATATATATATATATATATATATATTTGAGAAAGTATATATATATGTAT